TATATATATATATATATATATTTCTCTCTCTCTCTCTCTCTCTCTCTCTCTCTCTCTCTCTCAGAAATATATATATATATATATATATCTATATATATATATATATATATATATTCACCCATAAACCAACGGCCAAAAAATATGTTTAGTTGGGGCATGTCCGTATTACAAGCTTATCTACAAAAATCATTAGTATTTTGTTTTGCCTTCATATATATATCTCTCTTTTACACCATTTTTTTCTAATTGTCATCATTCTTTCACCCAACAAATGCATCTCTGATTTGCTACATTCAAATCAGAGAAAAAAACAATTATGTTTATATCTTTGAGCTGAAAAAAAAAAGAAATTAATTCCGAGAATTTGCAGCAAAAATGGCTATGAGTGGCGTTTACGTAATTACAGCACCGGCTGCAGCTGCTGCAATGGGGCTCTACTTCTTTGGTAGAAATAATCTCCCAAACAACCAGGTCAATTATATAACTTATTTTAATTTAAATAAAATAATTATACGATGGAAGGAGCTGGATAAATAAATCGGAAGATCGTCGGATCGATATTTTTTTCACAGACGAGAACGAAATACGGGATCCTTTATAATTATAAGGCATGCATAGAGATACATGCAAATCTAGTAGGTGTATATTTATATATATTAATCTCTTTTGGTAAATGCAGGAAGTTGGAGGTGCAGGAATAGGGGCGAATATGAAGAAAGAAGTGAAGAGTGGTGGTGGCGGCAGCGGCGGCGGAGGCGGCCCAATGTTGGCTCCACAGTTTGATGGTTTACACTGTTTTGAAACTATTGTACCCAACTGAATATATATTATATGAAATTCATTTGTCTTTTAATTAATTATTTGTCCATAGAGTTTTTTTTTTCAGTTACATTAGAGAAGTGCACGCAATTGGGCGTGTTTGATGACTAGCATCTGTTTTAGATTTTAGTTATGTTCATAAGTTGTATGGATTCTTTATTTATTTACTCTGGAATTCAATTATTATTGAGAAAATGACCGAGTTCTGTTTTTATTTGATTATTTGAGGAGAAAATATTCGGCAATTGAAATTAAAATAAACTTGTTCCAAAATCGGAAACTTTCGGATCGAATTCGACAAAATTCAAACATTTTCTATTGTTTAGGCATCTAAGATATATAATACACAAATGTATTGATATTACAAGTGTATTTTCTGAATTAAATTGAAATTTTCAGAAATTAAAATCGTATCGAAAATCGTTTCCGATCCAAAAAGTCAGAATCGGAGATTTCAGAATTCGGCACGAAAATTATTTCTTATATTATAAATAAAAAAAATCCGAAGAAAAAAAATCACAACTCATGCTCAGCTTACCAAAAGAAAAAAATATATAATTTAGGTGTTTTTAACCGCACTCGGTAACTCAACTAAAATCACGAGCTTTTCAAAATGACAGAAACCCGAAACTCGAGAAACTCATCTAAAAATGAAAAGAATCTTTTTTTTTATACAAACTGGATCATGTACAATGTACTTTATGAAATTAAATTAATCGCTACCGAAGCATTTTTTTGCTTCGTATCCGAGACCTGACCAATATCTCCTTATCAAGTGTTATTCCCCCAAAAAAAAAAAATTTAAAAAGAAATCCTCAATTAGTACTCGGACACCCCTTCCTACCGATATTACCGAACTTCCTCGCAACACCAAATATTAACGTCTTTGTAAAAAGCCCTCTGTCAAGACTAAACGCAATTGCGACAGCCCCACCGATTATCAGCAGCTTTGGTAAGTTCACACCTTCCTTGGGTTTCTCAACTGCCAAGGGCAATTGCGTCGTTTCCAATGAAGAATCTTCTTCGGAACCTTCTAGAGTCTTCAGGTGATCCGGATCGATTTTCGTGTTGATTTGGGCCATAAACGCATGGTGGGAAACGGGCGACCCGGACAATGATGCTCTGTGCTTTTGGTAGGCCCGAAAGCCACGCTCCACGTTTTTTGCGGCACCCCACATACCTTGCCTCACACCGAATTTCGCGATTTCCCATGGTATGCCCATGTCTTCGTGGTGGAAGAGTATTACCTCGCATGCAGACAATTGCCCGTTTCCTTTTCTTGATTCCACTGTGTCCAAACAGAAAAAAAGATGATCATTTCCG